ATGCAAACTATTTCGAAATTTTTTTGCTTAATGTAAAAAAGCCGTAATATTACGTAAGAAATTTCGAAATATCTTACGTAATATTTCGTAATTTGATATTTCGCAATATTTCGAAATTTCTCACATAATATTACGGCTTTTTTACGGTTCATAAATTATTACGAAATATTACGGTCTTATAAATTTGCTAATGTAATCTGCAAGTTGTTGGTAGCAGAAAGTTTTCTCTTTATCAAATAAGGCACCAGTTAAACAAATAAAAACAACAATCAACTAAACAAAAATTCAAATTTCAACTAGAAACTATTTAATAAAAAGAAAATGATAAACAAAAATGACAAGAAGTTACCTAGGGATAAAAGTAGGAATATTGAAGTGGTGTTTTAACAAGAAAGATGAATATTTAAAAGGAGTTTTAAGGGTATTATTAAAAGAATATTTATATATTTATAAAAATTGTATTGTAGAAGAGATTACAAGAGTATTTTTATTATAAGTTTCTTTGTTTTTCAATTCTTGTTTATTCTTTTCAAGAAGCAGGGAAGAGATTATATTTATATTTTTTTTAGAGCTCAAATCTTCAAAACAATAGTGGTGTTTGTAGTGTTTAGAAGAACCAATAGTATTTTGTTTATATAGTACTCATAGTGTTTTAGATAGTGTTTAAGGTGTTTTATATGTTATACAACTCTTTGTTTTGCTTCTAAATTGTTCATAATGTTTCCAAATTATTCTGCGACTTTTTATAACTTTTTTTTACTTTTCAAATTTTTCCATAATATTCTGTGACTTTCTTTTTCTATATAAACAAATAAGAAAAACAACAAATAAATATATAACTAGCTAACAAATAAACAAATAAACATATCAACAAAACAAAATAAACAAAACTAAACAAAACTAAATAAACTAAAAATACTAAAACTATCTTTAAACAATACAAAACTAATATCAAAATAATAAAAACAAATAATAAAAGAAAATATAGAAAAGAAAAGTCAAGTAATATCAGTAACTTCATCCTCTTCTTAAAATATAAGCTTTTGCAAATATTTTAAAACTTGTTGGGAATAGTAAAATCACTAGCTTCTTCTAAGTAGACATGATAAGCTTCTTGTTTTAGCACCTCAAAATCAGAGTCATACATACAAGCTAAGACTCTGTAACTTATCTTTTCTGCCTAGTACAGATTCCAGATTCCTTGAGTATTGTATAGCTCAAAGGTCCTTTTAACTACTTGAGATGCTTCAGGTCCTTTTCAAGAGCCAACTTCTTGTATTAAAAAGTTTAAAGCATTCTTGCTCCAACTTCTTGTACAAAGAAGTTTACCAAATTAATAGCACCACTCTATAGATCGATAAATGGCCTTATCTTCATTCTCAAAGCATTTAATTTTCTTGCAAATAGATTGCATCTTATCTTCTCAGGTATAGCCAAAAACTTCTATCATGTCTTGTAGGCTAGCACTTGTAATAGGTTTTTGAAGATCCTTGATGTATAGAGGCAATTTTTGTCAAATCTTCTGAGCATCAGTAAGCTTTAAAAGGGCTTGTATTACTTGAGTTTTGCCTTGATAGATAATTTCTTTGGAAGTAATTATCATAATTGAAATTGAATCCAATTTTTGTAATTCATATTGAAGTTGTTTAGCCATTAGTTTGGTTATTTCAAAGAGTTGGACTATTTTTTTTTTTGATTTTTTCTTTTTCTAGATCTTCTTGGTTTGGGTCCTTTTTCTTGCTTCTTTGGTTTTGAGTTTGTGTTTTCTTAATTTTGTTTGTAGTAAAGTAAGGCAGAGATGAGCTCTTTTTATAGAGATCTTCTTGTTGTCTTCTTTATAATCTCTTTCTTTTTCTAAAAATTTCTAAAAGTTCTATAAATTTCTTTAATTTTCTCATAAAACAATAAAAATCTTCTTTATTCTTCTTTAAGTTTCTATATTGTTCTGATAAGTTTGTTTTGCTCTATTATTTTCTTAGCTTTCATCACGTATTATAATTGTTTTAGTGATTTCTATTATCCAAATTTGTATATCCTATTAAAATATACCAAAAATATACCAAAAATGACACATAAGTTTGACCTATTTTGGAAATGGCTCTGCTATTTCATCTAATTCATAATTAAAATATTTCAAGTTTTTGTGAATTAGTGCTAAAACCTTACCTCTAAAAAGGGTAAATGTCACAATTCTTTTGTTTTCAAGCAGAAAAACTTCTATTAAATCTGTCAGGATAATTAGCACTACTGTAGAGCACTGCATACAGTACCTGGTGTGACCCGATTTTTTACATAGTGAAAAATTAAAAATCACGTAAGTTATACAATTGTTTACATCACATGGCATACATAAATAATATTTTAAAAAATTGATCTACATTATTTGTCACGCTGGGTACTGTATGCAGTGCTCTATGGTATATGTGATAATTTTAAATCGCTAGCTGTAAGCTTCACTAATGCTTGATAAATGTTGCCATTATTAACAGATTTTTTAACTCAAAGAGGATCCAAATATGATTTTGTGATACCCTTGCTAAAATTAAAAATCTGTCAACATTAGCTACATCTGTGATACCAATAAGTCTAGCTGGTAAAATATCTGTATCCAAGCTACCCATGTTTAGAAAATTATTATTTTTTGATACATCAAATACTTCAAGTTTTTTCTATTTGGAAATTTGAAGTATATTACATAGAGGTGATAAATATCGGTTCTTTTGGTTATGCTCTGGCCAAGCATCCCATTGAAATGCATTGGGTTTCATCTTATAACTGAAACTTGAATTGATGGCCTCAAACTTAAGACCACATTTTATATTTGATATTAGAATAGCCTCTTCAAATTTTCTCTAGTCTCTTAAAAATTTTCGAAATTATCAAGCCTTTTGATGACTATTTCATTGTTTTCCTTAATAACTAAATTAAATATTAGAAATATATTTTTTTCAAATGAAAATTTATAATAAATTACCTTGGTTTAATTGGGTTGTTTTGAAATTTGGACGTTTTCGTGAATATGAAGTTGGTGGTATCTCTTCGCTACTATCAGATTCATAGTTGTTATCATTATAGTTATCACCACCACAGTTTTTATAATCACGGCCATTATTATTGCTAAATTCGCCTTGGCTATCTTTATCTGCTAATTTTTTTATTAAAAAATAATTAAATAAAAATATGTGAATGATTGCATAAATTTGTAATCATTTTATTTACATGTTTCTTGCCGATTTGGTTTATTAATTAAAACGCGTAGTACATCATCAACCTTCTATAAAAAAAAAAATTATTTCAGAAATTATAATATATTTAGATAAATAAGAATTTAAATAAGTTACGAATAGAATATTAAATAAATGGACGATTTTAACGCTCACCGGAGGTGAAATTCACCGGGGGTGCTGTATCTCAAAAACGTACTAAGTAAACGGGATCGGGTACTCAATTCTTAATACCCTAACCCTAACCCTAACCTAACCCTAACAATTCCTAGGCCGGTGAATTTCACCACCGGTTAATTCTAAATTAATTCTAAAATAATATGATTTTAACGAATTTTTTTATTATAATAAAAATAATTCATTTAATAAATTTACATACAGTAATTGTATAAATTCCCTAAACCATTAACTCAAGAGCATTTTCGAATATCTTTACGAATACTTCGTAACATCAACGTAACACAGCGTACTCATAACACACCAACGACTACTTCGTAAATTTAGCTTCACCAAGACCAAAGGCGAAAACCTAATATTGTGCACTGATAACGATATAACGCGACGATAACAATACGGCACTGTAAGAGGCACCATAAAACCCACTCTACGGAAAGTGACGAATACATACAAACGAACTCCAGCAAGAAACCCAGAAAGCGACGAATTCACACAAACGAACTCTAGAATAAATACCGAAAGAGGCACTATTGAAAGCAACAAACTCACAGAAGAAATTCAAAGTGACTCACCGCAAGTTACAAATTCGCACGGTGAAACGGCACCAAAATCGACACTGAGTCACGCAAGCGAAACACGCGCCAAAATTGACACCAAGGCGATAAGCTTACACAAGCGAAGCTCCAGAAATACCGTAAGTGACGTTACGAAATCTACTGAAAGCGATGAACTCACACAGGCGAATCTTCAACAACAGCACCGAAAGAGAAACCACAAATTCACTACAACAATGCCGAAATCAATGGAGCACACCAGCGAAACCTAAAAAGTAAAGCTTAAGTGGCGACAGATTATCGACGATAATCATTGTTTATATACTGCCCATGACCCGTGACAAAATTTGACACTGATCTAGGTAACTCATTTGGCACGAAGGTGTGATGAATCTGATGTGATTAATAAACATTAACTAATTGATTACATTAGTTAATGATTATTAGTCACATCCACGATTCGTCACGTCTTTATGACAAATGGAATGCAGTAGTAATAGGTTAACTGTTATTATTTCGCAAGAATTTTATATTTAATAAAAAAAATTATTATTATTTGAATTGAATTACATTAATAAATCAATTTTCAAAATCATTTCACCGAAAGCTATATATATCACATAGCATCTGATTAGTTGTGTGGTATCGGCTAATGAGCTGTAGATGAGGTAAGAAAGTCCCTTTAAAATAATATCTCGAAAAATAACGCGCATCTAATAAGTGTGCATCATTTCACGTTCCTCTAGAATTCAGTTAACTTCAAGATTGTGTAACAGTAGTCTACGAAATTTTACAATTTCATATGCTCATGGTTAAACTCCAAAACTTTATAAGATAACCGAGACTAATAATAAGTTTTCTTTTTCAATCATAATAAATGTTCTTTATTTAAATTTCTTTTCATTCCCACTCTTATTGTTCAAAGAATTTGAAAATATGTCATCAAACGAACAGCAAAAACGTGGATCTGAATCTAACAAGAATACTTCTGTTGTTGAAAATTCTCCTGCTATGAATTCAATAAATGGTGAGACGAATAAAACCAAACAAATTATTTGGGGTAATGATTTTTTTTTTTTTTGTTAGAATGCCTTTTTAAAATGCCTTTTTTATTTTTTATTTCTTTAAAAATTTATATTCTAATTTATTATTTTATAAACTCATTAACACAAAACGCAAAAGGTTTTCAAGACCCAAATACTCCACGCGTTAACTGCGGTGCTGTACTCACCAATATGCCATCAAAACCAAAATTGGGAATTTGGACTCCAAACCCTGAGAAAAAGGAGTAGTTATGGCGTTATTACCTCTCATTTTACCTCTCACGAAAATCTCTTTCAAGCTTGTGCTATGTGTTTTAACCATTTTGAGTTCTTTTTGGAATTTATGCGTCACTAGTGATGGAAATTTCTAATTATTAATTATGAATTGTTAACGATTAAAAATTAAAATTTAATTACAATAATTTCTAAGCTAATAATAAATGAATTATCTAATATGTATAGAACATCTTCGTAGAAAATAATCTAATCAATAGTTTTTTTAAAATTTGTCGATTTTCTATAAAATCATTGATCGCATCAATTAAAGCTGTGATGGAAGATTCTATCACCAACATATTTTTACAGGAACTATTATTGATTAGTTTTTTATTGCTACAAAATCATTTTTATATTAGAGGACATAAAAAATATATTTTGATTCGCTGATTACATATTCTGTCGATACTTTCTATGTATATTGGATGATTTATTTATTAATTATTAAAAATGATTTATTAAGTTAACAATTTCATGTTAATAACAATTAATAATTAGAAATTCCCATCGCTAGTAGTATTAGGCATTATTATGTATTCTTGGTAGCTTATTTCATGCAAGAGCGTTTACGCTCCAAATAACGAGTATACGCGCTTGCATAAACTTGTAATCATTGCGCCTTGATCAAATGTGAGATCTACAGCGTAAGCGTTGAGATCCTCGACAATCTGTAAAATTAGAATGTATATAAGAGTGTGTCTTCATCCTTAGTTGAGGATAACATTCGCTCTCCCAAATTCCTCAATAAATAAAGGTTATATATATTCATACTCTTTTTTATAATAAATGCCTAATAAATCATGAATATCCCGAATACCATAGTTTATCGCCCAATTCACGTGACCCCTTTAACGGAGTTAAACTCGGCATGACAGTACCAAGCTCTCCCTTACGATGGTTACAATAAAGATTCTTTTTTTCTTAAATTCTATACCTAATTTTCGTAATCGTCAATAAAAACGTACCATAATGAGATTAAAAATACTTTAAAAATTGACATAGTTCCTCATCAATTAATCATCTATGTTAACATCCGATATTATTTAATATCCTAATTAAATTGTTAAAATAACATATTACGATTAAATCTTACTATGTCATGTTTTGATTAACGACGTCCCAATTTTACTATCAAAATCAGTTAAAAATATTTATTGTAATTATTTTATTTATGAATATTCTATGTGCTTCTTTATTATTCAAAAATTCAAAAATAAAAGAAAACGCTTATTTCTCCGTTAATATCCAGAATACAAGCATTTTACACCTGAATTTTTGATCACCACCTAATATCCCAAAATTTAAAACTAGAAAATAGAGGTATTACCTGGGTCGGAAAATAGCGACCCGGACGGGTCAACGGGTCATATGATGTGTGCCCGTCTAAACATACCAACGAATATTTAAATCAGATCTTTTCGGAGTTTGTACCGTATAAGCGCCATCTGCGCGTTATTTGGATACGTCCATGTGCGTCATTTCGAAATAAGAGTTTTTTTTTTTTTTAATCCAATACCGTCAATCTTTGGGTACCCGATCAAAAAAATGCTACCCGGGTTATCCGACAGATAACCTTTCGGATAACCCGTATAATCGGCAGATATATCCGGATATAAAATTCTACCCGATATACCCGGTTAATTATCCGGATATAAATTCTACCCAATTTACTCAGGTAGTTAATAATGATGCAAACATTTCTTAGAGTAGTAACTACATACAGCATTGCAGCAATAATGTAAATATTAATGTTTAACTACTGTTAAACCAATGTTGAAGTACTGTTGATTTTTTCTAATAAACAAATATATAATTTTTTAAATTACTGTTAAAGTACTGTTGAAGTACTGTTCATCTTAATTAAATATAGTAATAGTGGTTTGAACTTTATTAAAGTTCAAATTTTGTTATTATGTACGATTTTATTACAAGTCTTATATCTCCTATTTATTATATATAGTGTTTTCACTTTGCTATTTATTGAACTCAATAAGTTGACGAATCTGTAAATGAATTTATTTTCCAACCAATTTAAAAGTTTAAACTTCTCAAGTTTAAAAATTTTCTGACTCTCAAGATAAGTAAAATATAATACTTTTTAAGAGAATTTTTTTTTAGTTTAACTACTAAAGTATACTGTATGTGCTGAAAATTTATTACAAAGATACAAATATTTATTTCACTTCAACTAATTAGCACTTTCAATTACAAGAGAGATAAATATAATGTAACAGATAATTGCTAAGATTATAATTATATAATGTTTCTAACTTGTTCTATTTTCTTTAGTTAGATAACTTAAATTGAAAAGAAAATATTATGCCCATTTCTTTTTGCAATATAAACTATTTCGCTTAACAAATAGCAACTCATTGACCACCTCAGGAGATAAATGGGTCCTTTTGGGGTTATTTGATTCCCAGCATTGAAAAACAAACATTCACTTAAAACAGAAGTAGCAGAAATTAATAAGTACTTACATGCCATCCTGTTTAATATTAGGAAGGTATGCTGCTTAGTATGCTATCACTAATATACGTCTGTGGTCTTCGGTTGTGTTTATATAACCAATTTATTTAAATAATTATCAATCTCAATTTCATGATTTGTCCAAGTTTGATTATAATTGAATATTCTTTTCATAAATGTAGATGTAGATGAAAAAGATGTTTCTGCTCCAGTGTTTTTACCAAGCTTATTTGTTACAACTATATTCTGCCAAGTCTTAAACTCATCATGCAGCCTTTTAATTGTTCTATTTCATGTTTCTTTTGACCATAGCTTCATCGATTTCAATCTTGGGTCTAATAAGATAGCAATTAATTCAATATATTCTAAATTTTGCCAATAATGTTCAAGAGAATTATAAATAACTCTTTGAACTTTTAAAATTATATTTTTATTTGAAGGTAGCCTTTTGTTATTCTGAATATCCATGTCATCTAAACTTTTATCAGTAGAACTTTTATCTTTAGTCAAAATATTATCTTAAGTATTAATTTTAATATTTAATATTGATTTAATATTGCAAATAATAATTATTTAGGCCATATAAACTTAATAAATTGGTTCTTAATCCAAAAAATTAACTCTATATGATCTTATATTAAATTAAAAATTTCTATTCTTATCTTTAAATATACTCTCTCTCATCAATATTTTCAAGTTTTTTCATTGTATCATAATTAAAGAATTTAGCTTTTAATGCTTTAATAGTTGGGTTGATAACTGATAAAGTAGTATAACAGATTCTACTAAGATAAGTTGTTAACTTATCAAATGGTTTAAACACATTTGCTAATTCTTGTAATAATATCTATTCAGTATCTTAAAAGCATAAGATGGTTTAATTTATTAGCATCTTCTCTAATACTATCATTTTTAGTATTTTCTTCATTTTTAAATTTAGAGTAGCCAAAAGTCATTTAATTGCTAGACACAATATTAAAAGCCATTGCCAAAATTTATAAATCGAGTTCTAGCAGGTTTTTACATCACTAATTGTGCGTAAAATTTTGAATTTTCCTTCAAATATTTCTGGCTTATCATTATTATCAAAGTCTACTACAAATGATAAGTCTTTGTTATCAAAACTATATAATTGGATAAGAGTTGAAGTAGTTTTATTATGTTGGGCTAATTCTATTTGTGCCTGGTTAAGCTGCTTTGATAATTTAAAAAATTTAATAAGATTATTAATTTTTGAGTATATAGCTTTATAGTTATTAGAGCTTGAATAACTATAAGTTAAAGAGTATAAACTAAGCTAGCAATATGGTCTATACTATCCTATATTCTAATGACTTTTTTCATATTTGCCCTGTTATCTGTAACTGCACAAATTACTTTTCAGCTAATTCAAAATTCATTAATTTTTTGGTCTAAATATTTTTTAATTCTTTTGCTAGTATAGATAATCCATTTTTTTAATAGCCAATATAACATTATAAACTTTGAAGTTTTCTGTTAACCAATAGACAGTTATGTTGATATATTCTTTATTGTTTCACAGGTGGTATTAATTAATTTTTTTAATTCTATTACACTTTTTTGATAGGCAATAGTAATGTTTTTTTTAATATTTTTATTATTTGGTAGCATAAAAGCCAGGTCAATTCTATTAATCATTTTTCTATAATCTACTCTGTAAACAGTAGGCAGAGAGTTAGTGACTAACCATTCTGCAGTAACTTTTCTTAATTCTGCTTGTATAGTTTCCTTATGAGGTATTACTTTTCTAATTATTTTATCAATATTTAATTAATGCTTTGTATCTAAACTTGATTTAAGTTTATTAGGCCTTAAAATTCTATACTTTGTTCAAAGATAAAGCTTCATATTCCCAGTTTCACTATTATACTTGTAATCTGTATCACAATTAACCTCTTTATCTTTTTGAAACACAATTATTTTATATATTGCACACTCCTTTTCTAACTAAAAATATTTTCACACATAACTTGGTTTATTTGTTGGATTAGTAATATTTGCTTAGATTCTTTTTACACTTTTTTCTTTTACATGCTCATTTATAGCTTTTCCTCTAATTGCAGTGCTAGAAATAATATTTCAAGATTCAGCATCAAAATTAATATAAGAGTCAAATAAGGGTCAGTATAAGGGTCAGTATAAGGGTTAGTATAAGGGTTAGTATAAAGATCAGTGTAGAAATTAGTATGAGAATTGTTATCAAAACTATATTTATTATAACTATCTATAATTGTTAGAAATAATGAGAAATAGTTTACATGCAAAGAATTTATTTAAATGAAGTTTTAATATTAGAATATTTAATAGTATATAGTTATTTTTAAAACTTTTTTTAAATGAAAAAGAATAAACCATAGTTTTTTATATTGGATTTGAGACTTTATTGAAGCAATTATGTAATAATTATAGTAGAAAAATATTTATATAAATATCATTTTATCTTTTATTGCATGCATTTAATAGGCTTTTTTAGCAGTTTTTCT